GAGGGGATACTTGAAGCCTGGGGTTCAGCAGGGGAGTCAGCTGACCCTGGGTGCCACACAGCACTTTCTCCTTTGAAGTGTAGCAACGGCCCCTAGGAGGTGCCCTATCGACTAATCGAATAGTCAATGCAAAATGCATCGACTATTTGCTTAGTCAATTACCTGATACTTAACATCCTTAGTTCAGTCCCCTGCCCTCACGGCAGGGCCAAGCACCATCTAGACCATCCCTGATAGATGTCTATCTAACCTGCTCTTAAATATCTCCAGAGATGGAGATTCCACAACCTCTGTAAGTAATTAATTTATTCCTGTGTTTAACCACCCTGACAGTTAGGAAGCTTTTCCTAATGTCCAACCTAAACTTCCCTGCTGCCGTCTAAGCCCATTGTTTCTTGTCCTACCATCAAAGGCCAATTTTTCTCCTTCCTCCTTATGACACCCTATTAGATACTTGAAACATGCTTTCATGTCCCCTTTGTTTTCTTTCCAAACTAAACAATCCCAGTTTTTTCAGTCTTCCCTCACAGCTCATGTTTTCTAGACCTTTAATCATTCTTGTAGTCTTCTCTGAACCCTCTCCAATTTCACCACATTTTTCTTGAAATGTGGCCAGAACGGGACAAAATACTCCAACTGAGGTGTAATCAGCAGAGTAGAGCGGAAGAATGACTTTTTGTGTCTTGCTCACAACACACCTGTTAATGCATCCCAGAATCATGTTTGCTTTTTTTGCAACAGTGTCAAACTATTGACTCCTATTTAGCTTGTGGTGTACTATGACCCCTAGATCCCTTTCTGCAGTACTTCTTCCTAGACAGTCACTTCCCATTCTGTAAGTGTGAAACTGATTGTTCCTTCCTAGATGGAGCACTTTGCATTTGTCCTTATTAAACTTCATCCTATTTGCCTCAGACCATTTCTCCAGTTTGTCCAGATCATTTTGAATTATGACTCTATCCTCCAAAGCAGTTGCAACCCATCCCAGCTTCGTATCATCTGCAGACTTCATAAGCATACTCTCTCTGCCAATACAGCTGCTCCCCGAGTTATGACCACCTCCACTTACGACCAAAGCGGTCGTAAATGCGGATCCAGTTACGAACGGCGATCTGCGCTTACGAACAGTGCAGTCGCCATGTAACTCTATGGGATCCAAGTTACGAACACTTCGAGTGTTGGTCCATAACTTGTTTGTAACTCGGAGTGGCTGTATCTAAATCGTTGATGAAGATATTGAACAGAACCAGTCCCAAAAGGAGACCCTCTGAGAAACTCTACTCAGTGGTGCACAGTGGGCATCCCCAGCCTCCAAGTACATTTAGCCCAGGATGCAGGAGGTCAGCTTGCAAGGATTTAGCTATAGCTGCACTGGGTGTTAGACTCAGCGTAGGAGGCCACTAGAGCCTGTGCATGAAGCAGCTGCAGCCACAAGTCGGAAAGGATGCTCTTCAGCTTGCATGAGCCTCCTGCTTCCCTCGGTGGGACTGGAAACTGACCTGCCGAGCCCAGGGCGGAGTTGGAGCTCAGCTCTGGGAAGGCCTGGCGCAAATTAAACACCAGATAGATGTCAAATGTTAGTTCTTGGTTTATAGCTTCTTGGTTTATAACTTGTGCATTTAGGGATCCCAGATGACAGAGAATGTACGTCAAAACTTTACAAGATTTTTACCTGTTAAAACACAGTAACTCTTTTATTCTCACTCTGTAACCCTGCTTCAGTGATACAAGGTTTAGGTCTGTTGTCTCATTTAGCTATACATTTTACACACACAGCTCTGTCAGAATTTTAAATTGCTATGAGAAGCAAAGCATAAACAGTGATGCAAGAAATAAGGCTTTTGTAGAAATGATACAAGAAACAAGCATTTCTATCCTTTATGCATAAGTAATTAAGTACAGGCAGTCCCCGGGTTACGTACAAGATAGGGACAGTAGGTTTGTTCTTAAGTTGAATCTGTATGTAAGTCAGAACTGGCGTCCAGATTCAGCCGCGGTTGAAACTGATCACTTTCAACAGTGGCTGACGCCAGTTCTGACTTACATACAGATTCAACTTAAGAAACCCAGGCGTCCCCAAGTCAGCTGCTGCTGAAACTGATCAGCGGCTGATTCCAGGAAGCCTGGGGCAGAGCACCTCTGCCTCTGGCTTCCTGTAGTAAGCGCTGGTCAGTTTCAGCCGCGGCTGAATCTGGACGCCAGTTCTGACTTACATACAGATTCAACTTAAGAAACCCAGGCGTCCCCAAGTCAGCTGCTGCTGAAACTGATCAGCGGCTGATTCCAGGAAGCCTGGGGCAGAGCACCTCTGCCTCTGGCTTCCTGTAGTAAGCGCTGGTCAGTTTCAGCCGCGGCTGAATCTGGACGCCAGTTCTGACTTACATACAGATTCAACTTAAGAAACCCAGGCGTCCCCAAGTCAGCTGCTGCTGAAACTGATCAGCGGCTGATTCCAGGAAGCCTGGGGCAGAGCACCTCTGCCTCTGGCTTCCTGTAGTAAGCGCTGGTCAGTTTCAGCCGCGGCTGAATCTGGACGCCAGTTCTGACTTACATACAGATTCAACTTAAGAAACCCAGGCGTCCCCAAGTCAGCTGCTGCTGAAACTGATCAGCGGCTGATTCCAGGAAGCCTGGGGCAGAGCACCTCTGCCTCTGGCTTCCTGTAGTAAGCGCTGGTCAGTTTCAGCCGCGGCTGAATCTGGACGCCAGTTCTGACTTACATACAGATTCAACTTAAGAAACCCAGGCGTCCCCAAGTCAGCTGCTGCTGAAACTGATCAGCGGCTGATTCCAGGAAGCCTGGGGCAGAGCACCTCTGCCTCTGGCTTCCTGTAGTAAGCGCTGGTCAGTTTCAGCCGCGGCTGAATCTGGACGCCAGTTCTGACTTACATACAGATTCAACTTAAGAACAAACCTACTGTCCCTATCTTGTACGTAACCCGGGGACTGCCTGTATATAATTACCATGAAATCGTGAAATATTTTTCTGCGCCAAATACAGGTCTGAACAATGATTTGATCACACAAAATAGTTTCTTTATGTATCTTCTGCTTATACTATAGCTAACTTCAGTGTCTTTGTTC